CAACATTTCTGTATATTACTAGAACAAAGCTACTGTAAATCTAAAGTTGGTTCTTATAACCTTAGAAAATAAAAAGCAGAAAATCAGTAATGAAATTAAACTGCTACATTAGAAATCAATTAATGTAAAACAAAGCAGTAAAGCATAAACAGAGAAAAAAAAGATAAGAGACCTTACAAAGAGTAAGGCAGAGAAGTCCATCCAACCACATCAGTAACATTAATTATGAATGGATAAACAGACAAATCAAAAGGCAGAGATGATCGGACTGGGTTTAAAAAGCATGGTGCAATTATATGTTGTCCACAGGAGACATACTGTAACTGAAAGACATAAATACATTAAAGCGAAAGAATGGATAAGGATTCAGCCACTTTGGAAAACTGACTACATGCAGTTCCCCTATAACCCAGCAATGCTGCCCCTCAGTAAATACCCAAGAGAAATAAAAACATTCATCCACATAGAAACACATCCCTGGATGTTTATAGCAGCCCTATTCATGATAGCCAAAAGGGAGAAACAACTCAGATGTCCAGCAGATAAATAGAAGGACAAATATAGTACACCCAGGTAAGGGAAAATTACTCAGCCCCAAAAAGGAGTGAAGCAAGGCATAAGCCACCATGTGGACGAACCTTGGAAACATGATGCTGAGTGAAAGAAGACACAAGGACCACGCACTACATAACTGCATTTAAATGAAAGCCTGGAATAGGGAGAGCAAGGGAGAGGTGTGTGAGAAGTGGGGCGCTAACAGCACAGGGCACAGGAGTTCCCTCCCGAGGTGAAGAAAATGCTCTGCCACTGACTGTGCTGACGGATGCACACACCTGCAAAGACACCAACGCCCACTGAACAGTGCAGGACGTAAATCACAGCTCAGTAAAGTTGGTTTAAACATTTTTAAACACTGAGGGGTTTTTGGCTGAAGGAAGCATTCATAGACCAGATGATGACTGAGCATGTCTGAAGCTGGGTCAGGATCAAAGGTGCTGGCCCAGTTCTGCGGGGTTCTGGACTGCACCTGACCCGAGGAGGAGACATCCACTGCTGAGTGACAAAGTGATAACTCCTGTCCCGCTCTCACGATGCCTACCGCTTTCACAGCCTGCCATCCCATGTAACCAAAAGCCAGCCTTGTTTTCACGTGGAAATCCTGGATGCCCTGCTGAACCCTGCCCTGAACCCGTTTCCCTGCCAGCTCATGGGGTCTTCTCAACCTAGGCTAGTCTCATTGTCTAGCTCTTATTCTTGCAAATGAAGACTATGACCAACTAGTACATTGTGATGGCCAGCTGAACCTGGAGGCACCTCAGGAGGGCAGGGGAAGCACCTCAGAATTGCAAAGCGCACTCAATTCATTTCCTTGTAGCTGCACACAGGGCTGCCTGCACCTGAGATGCGAGGCATCCCCTACTCTACCTGCCCTGGTTTCACATAAATCCTTCACATTTCACCAGGGCAGCACCAGGAGAATCGGCAGCCTCATCTCTGCTTCTCTATACAGTAGGTAAAAGCAGAAACTCTGCAGCCAATCAGCCTGATGAGTGAAAACTTCAACCCCACATCTTAGCGTGTGACCCATTTAGTGTCTCAATCAGTCCTCCGGTGGTTTTCTCATCTACAGGAAGGAGGCACTATTTCTTGGGGTCACAAAGATTAAATGAGGTGATACACAGAACATACTTAGAAAAAGACAAGCACACTGCGACTGCCTGTCTCATTCTAGCTGATGCTATTGTATTTGTTCACATGGATCTTTTCCTCCCAGTCCCCTCTCAAAAGCAAAGAGTCTATTTCTTTGCATCTGCATAGCATATAACACAGTGCTAGACACAGGATGGGTGTGTGTAAGGGACCAGTGAATGAATAAAAAATAAAAACTTTTTGTCCAAGCTCCACACGGTAGCACACACCTATAATCCCAGAACCCTGAAAGGTAGAGGCAGGAAGAGTGCAAGTTTGAGCCCAGCTAGGGCAATTTAGTGACTATATAAACCCTGTCTTAAAATAAAAGATAAACAAGGGTGAGGATATATACAGCTCAGTACAAATACCTCGAGTTCAATACCCAATATGGGGCAGGAGAGTAGGAGGTAATAGTTCACCAATGTCAAAGCTTATGCATTTAGTTATATTTTCAATATTTTAAAAAAAAACAGCACAGGGTTTATGGGTACACTAGACTCAAATATCTAAAACTGAGCTGCTTTGGAAAATCCAGGCTGATGGCCTGAACTATCTAGAAAGGACCCAAATGCTCGACAGCATGATTACATAAAGGAGAGCAATTCAAAACAGGGATTTCACATGAATGAAACAGGAGGCTGGTGCTGATCCTGAGAAATTGTGGACAATTCAGCAAGCAGGAAAACAGCAGGAGAGACTAGTATGTACAGAAGGCCACGGGGCTGTCCAAAGGGCAAAGATCAGAGAGCCAACAGGCTCTGTGTGTCTAATACTACACTGTCGATCTTTACCTCCTGTTGTGCTCAGGAGTTGCAAAGAGAACAATTACATACAGGACATAGAATTCATACTATTATTTTAGGATGGTCACCCAGAGTTAAATACAAGAAAGTGCAGGAAATCTGTCCACAACACTAAAGACCTAGAAAATCCAGCCAAGAGCCTTGAATCCCACAGCAATGTCCTGCATGAGTCCAGCTGAAGGCCTAGAGCCCATGACAATGTCTCCCACGAGTCCAGTTGGAGGCCTTGGGCCCACAACAATGACTCATGTAAGCCTGTTTCATCTGCACGGGGAAGGCCCAGAGGTCAGTGGTGGAAGCTAGAAAGTCTGTGCCAGTGGGCTGAGTTCTGCACTGGACCAAGAAGCAACACTCAAAACAAGCACCAGGGCTTCCCCGAAAAGTACCACAGCCACCCTCAGCAACAGTGAGGTCCTGAACTCCTCTGATCATGAGAACAGCAGAGTACATATCAGGAAGCCAGCGTGACAAATTTCTGGAGATTAAATAGCACACACCTTCCCCTATGGAGCGAGGAAGCAATGTTCAGCGTACGGACCAGAGCTCCCCCAAAGTGAACTGCAGCCACTCTCAGCAACAAGTCCCAAGCTCCTCTGATGATAACAGCTGAGTTCATATCAGGGAGCCAGCATGACAAGCTCCTCCAGGAGAGCCAAGGGCTCAAAACAACAACTCTTAGGAGAACCCACAATGCTAAACTATGCTCTTCCTCTCCATGTCTTTTTATGCTAGCAACTTTCCTCAGGGGGCCATTTACACGCAGCACCACACTGATTCAGTTCAGCTGGTGTTAAGTTGATCACCCGTTTTTTAATCTATAACACCTCCTTTGAACTAATTCTGAAACTAAAATCAGCTGAATAACCAAAATAATAATACTTCTAATGCCCAAAATCAATGCCATACAGTCTCCAAAATCTTAAATCTTTTAAACAAAGACACAATGAGAAGCATAAAGTTTTTCCATGGCTACAATGCTAAGTTTCTCAATAAGAAAAAACCCACATACTGTTGTTATGGTTGATTCTTCTATTTCATAGGTAGATTTTTTCTTTATCAGTACCAGGGATCGAACTCATGACTGCGCACTTGCAAAGCAGGCCCTTATGCCACTGAGCTAAATTTCCAGCCCCTCATAAGTAGATTTTTAACTGTACCTATCTGTTTAGTTTATGGCAGGGATGATCAACAGTTTCAATAACTATTTAAGACTCTTCCTAATTAAGTCTTCTCATTTGGTACAATTAGAAACTGAAATTTAAAGAGTATACAGTTCTACACAAAGACCATGCCTTTAGCAGAATTTGTACTCTCCCCCACCAAGAGTAGAGCTCAACTCAAAGACAGTGGGAAAAACTGTACTTGCTTACAGCACCAAGCACATGCCTTTCATTTACATGTTTATTTTACTGATTACTGAACCCACAGTGGTCCCACTAAGCAACATCCCCAGTTCCTGTTTTAATTTTTTGAGACGGGGTCTCCCTAATCACCCAAGCTGGGCTTGGACTTTCAGTCCTCCTGCCTCAGCCTCCAGAGTGCTCGGATTATAGGCACGCATCACCATACCCAGCTTCACATCTGCTCATTTTATGTACAGAGATGCACATGTGTAGAAAACGCATACGTATAAAATACACGTGCGCACACAGAGATATGTTACCTAACATACAGATCCAAAACCAAAACTGAGCCAAGAAGAATCTTTTCAGTTGTCTTCATACGACTCAATACCGTGAGGTCGGCGGAGGCATCTTCAAACAGCCCACGTGATTACGCTAACTTAAATTAATCAAAATAAATATGCACACCTCCTGCCTTCCACATTCCTTCCTGCCATTCCTCAGGTGAAGGAAAAGAGGCAAAATTGAATTTATTCCTCATATTTTCTCCTCAGGAAAAAAAAAAGGCAAACAAATGCATTTCCCTGAATACAATTCCAATCAATAAACAGATGACTTCCCATCAAAACACAGCTCAATAATCCAAATATACTTTTAAAAAAAAATCATTCCAATCAGAATCTTTCCTTGCTCCCTTGCAAATACTTTTGTCTGCATGCAGTTTAAATCATTAACTACATAGCCCCAAACAGCATAATTGGCATGTAAATTTTATGAAGGCACTGATTATGTCCTTTTAAGTGTTACACAACACCCAGTACAAGAAAGCTTATTAAACATTTATGATGATTAGTTTAAAAATGCCAAAGAAAAGTCTTTGTTATTCAACTTGGCTGCCGAGTCTAATATAAACGACTGATCAGTATCGGTTTCTCCGAGCGCAACTGGAAGAAACTGAAAACAAAACAAACCCCACTGAAATTAGAAATTCCGTCTACTCTGTCCAAGAATATCATTTTGTTTTTGCGTCAAAAGAAACCGCCAGCAGAGAGCATGCAACAGGCAGGTTGCTAGGATATTTAATCTCAGCTTTTACGCACTATTTACCAAGCAAAAAGCCCCCTGCATTTCATGCACGGTGCCAGGGGCATTCTGCCCTTACCTTTCCCATTTTGCCAGGTTGTGTACCAGGATAAAGTAAGGAACGAAGTAAAAAATGCTAACGCCGTGGCCACAGTTCCATTTCGGAGCCTCATCTCATTTCACCATCACACTGGTTCAGAGGTTTGCTATGAGGATCGGGACTGCTTTCTCTCTAGCCTGAAGTCAGCAGAATCCAGTGCTCCTGGCTCCCAGACAACAAAACACTCAGTGTGATGGGTTCATTTCAGAGCTAGCAGAAGGTGTCTAGCTGTAGGCCACTCACAACCGCTGCTCAGGATTCTGTGGCTTCGAAGGCTGATGGCTCCGGCTGTTTTCCTCCTATGGGAGAAGGGCAGACACAGAAAAAGTTGCTCAATCATGCAAAGCATAGGCTTCTTCTCTTATTATTCACCATTGTAAAGAGACACTGGGCAGAAGAACTGTATCTGCCAAGATCAACCCCAAAACTATTCATTTAATATATTAGGATTATACACGGTCTTTCCCTGCTAGGAAAAAAAAAGCTGTGAACTTCATTTCCTCCTTGCTGGTGGTGTCTGGAAAAACAGAAGTGTTCTTCAGTTAAAGAGGGAAGTTGTAGGGCTCACAGATTCCAGGATGATAATTCTAATAATCAAACAATGTTTCCTGAGTAACACTCTTCCTCCCTTGCCCCAGTATTCCTACACAGAAACAAGAAACATTTAACAAAAAAAAAAAAAAAAAAAAAAAAGAGGAAGAAGAAGAAAAAGAGACGGGGGGGGGGGAGGAAGTTGCTGTTGATGACAGACTACAATACATAAGAGTGACAAGACTCTGGTCCTACATCCAGCTTTGTGATTGCTGGGGTGTCCTTTATCTTGATGTCAAAGCTTTTCTATAAAATGAGAAACCACGTGTCCAGTCTCCTCTTTTACATATAATCATAAATGGCAAAAAGGTTAGCATTACTATTGCTACCTGTTATCATCAGGAAGCAAATTCAGTTTTCCCAGGGATTAACCCAATCCCAAGCATACCTGTGAACATTTATGCATTTAGAAAATGGAGCTGTCTAGAGTGGTGGGGAACGCTTGTAAGCCCAGTGGTCTGGGAAGCTGAAACTAAAGGATCCTGAGTTCCAGTCCTGCCTGAGAAGATTAGTGAATCCTTGTCTAAAAATATAAAAAAGGGCTAAGGATGTAGTGGTGTGCAAAGGCCCTAGGCTCAATCCTCAGCACCACAAAAGAAGCAAACCAGCCCATCTTCTATCTGCCAAGGCCCAGCAACAGGCATTGTCTTAACTCAGGAAATCTGGGAGGCCACTATCCAGCTAACAAAACTGCTGAGAAAATGGAAAGAAATGAGGCCATCAGAAGTACTTAGCATAGTACTCCGCACATACTATGTTCTCAATAAATGTGTTTAACTGTGTTAAAAACTAATATAAAACGAAGGTGATGGGCCGGTGGCTCTGTCCACTCTGTGTGTAACTGGTCTCACTACCTCGAGGCAGGTCCAGCAGTGAGAAGTGTGCATTGATTCCTGGCAGCCTCAAGGGGATCACAGCAGCTCTTGGCAATATACTAATGACACTCCAGTGGGATGAGTTAATGCACTCGCAAAACTGCTAAGCAACCCGAGGGACAACTATCTCAGTGAAGAGCTGGCTGATGAAAGCGGCCCTCTGCAGGTGGCTCAGAAACTACCCATTTGGCTACTTCTTACCACTGAACAGGACTAGAAATCCCCACTGGCAAGAAAAAAAAATCTCAAGGGCACTCCTGGGTCCATTATGTGGTTTAAACCTTCAAGGATAATCCTATGAGACCAGCATTATTAATATCATTTTACACACAAGGAAATTCACCCAGAGAGAAAGCTAATTTGTATGACTGCAAGGTTCAAGGACATAGCCATTACCTTTTGTCCCTTACAGTCAGCCACCTGCTGGATATGTTAAGGTGTAACAGATGGGCCTATTAAGATACAAGTTGCAAAATTCACAAGAACTTTACAGTCTAAACATACAACTTTTAAAGTCTAAACATGCAACTATAAACAAATTTCTCACTTCCTGCATGCAGCCTTTGGCTAAGCCTCTGCCCCATTGCCAACAAAGAGTCCCTGTTACCCTCCTTGGCCGGCAGCTCTACTTTCCATTTTAGCAACTCTGAACTCCTACAACACTACTCCCTCTTACCACCTGAGCACAAGGAGGACCAAAGACGCTTTCACTTAAAGTTAGCACTGATAAGTCCAAATGTATCATCTTCCTTCCTTAAGATAACTTAATATTAAATATGCACACTTTTGCAGTTTTAGAATAAAAATGCTACCCAGGCACGATGGTACATGCTCCAAATTCCAAACTCAAAAAGCTGAGGCAGGACCATCCCAAGTTATTGCCTCAAAATTAAAAATAAATTAATTAAAATTTAAAAGGGTGGGTTATAGCACAGTAGCATTCCCAGGGGAATCACCACCACCACCAAAAATAAAAATTTCATGGCAAAAAAACCCCATACAATTTAACATTTTGTTTAGTGTCTAATGCACTGTCTTAATTAAGTAAGTGCCCCAAAAATCCTAATTATAAAAGAGCCAGGTGTGGTACCTGCCTGTGATCCCAGCACTCTGGAAGGCCGAGGCAGGAAGATATCTAAGTTTAAGCCAGCCTGTGTAATACTGCAAAACTCTATCTCAAAACAAATTTAGGCCGGGGATTTAGCTCAGCGGCATAAGCACCTGCCTTGCAAGTGCGCAGTCATGAGTTCAATCCCCAGTACCCCACCCCCCCAAAAAAAACAAAAATAAAAAAAAATTTTAAAAGGGGCTGGCGCTATAGCTAAGTACAAAGGTCCCAGGTTCAATCTTCACCACCATGAAAATATTGAAAAGGAAGCGATAACTTATGAATTATATAATTTAGAATGTTATTTCCAGTGACATAAAAATGCTTATAACTTTCAGTTGCTGTTTACTTAGCCATATGTTATTGAATTTGGTTTTTCATTTGCCTTATTAAGTGCTCTATTAATAATGGGGAACTAAGGAAGCACAAAATCCTAAAGTATATTTTAAAACAATTTTATAAAATACTCCCCAAAAAGCCAGTATAACTTCAGTATAAATGCAGAGAAAAACAAACTCTAAATCAAATTAGACAATACACTACCTATAATGCATGAAAAGCATGAAAATATTAAATACTAATCCAAGAAGTTAGGAAACTCTGGTTTGAAAATGATACTCAATGAATTCTGTTACTAAGACCTAAATTTCAACAAGAAAAAATAGGAGAGCTTTTTATTTGGTAAGAATGTGCTCATACATTTTTAATTAGGGTTTCTAAACTAATGAAGCTTAACTGCACACCACAAGTGAATAAAATCTCCAGATGAGAGCCAAACCAGGGAGCTAGGAGCTGTGCAATCAGGAGACACAGCTGATAGGCTGGCTTGTTAGACACAGCTGATCTACATTTTTCTCAATGCTCACATTTGCAAAATAATCCAGCTCCTCAGAACTCTCCAAGACTTATCACTTAATTATCTGCATCTTCAAACAACAAAAACAAGATGATGGTTACAATCACTAGGCATTTCTCCATCTTCCTATAGATCGGTGGCTCATTCAACTCTAGAGCTCAGAATGAAAAATCTGTTAACGGACTTTTACCATCGTGTTTCTTACCATCCTTAGATTTTTCTTATTGGGTACAAAACCTTCATTTTACAGTGTTCCCTGAAATACTCAGCGTGCTCCACGGCTCTGAGAACATTTGTTGAATATGTGGCATATTCCTTCATCAGCACCCCAGACAGAGTGCTTGAAGAATACAGGGCTCGGTCCATGACATCCACAACCGATGAAAAGCATGACGTAAGCCTGTATAACTCTGTACACAACGATGTTAAAATTCATACTTCCCGCTTCTAAAGTACTGGTGTTTTTCTTCAATACAGTTTACATCATTTCATCGTCTGGTGCATTTTTTTTTTTTTTTTTTTGGATTTACACTTGGGATTTTGAGAAACCTATTCACCAGAATTTGCCAGTAAAACCATATTTAGGACAGTCAGGAAGAGAAACACCCATCACGGAAAGGTAGATTCTAAATCTAGCGTCTATCTTCAAATCGACGACTTTGCTAGTCTTTATCTTTTATCTACGGACTCACCGATCTGCAGAGTACAAGAGCAAAATGTAAAGCAAGCACCGGAGCACGTATTGTGTCTACTTGGATTTGGCAACTGGGAAGTAAGCAATGAATGGGCTCCAGAGAAACAATGTTGCGAGACATAAAAGCCAGCGGGCTGGCGAGTGGCGCTCCTGCCAGCTCCCGAACGCGCGCTTGCCAGATGTCACCGGGCGCACCTAGCGGCACCGCCCCGCCGAGGACCCAGTGGACCCACGCACAGTTTCCTCCGAATGGGGGAAACTGAGGCCTGGAGTGGGGCAGGGGGTCATGTTAGACTCCATTGATCGGGTCTCCACTCAGAAAGGGAAACTCGCAGCCTCGGCTGCACCACCCGAGCTCCAGGCCGGAGCAGCCCCCGTCCCACCTGCGCCGCGGGCACCGAGAACCCCTGGGCTCCGCAGCCCTGGTGATGCACACTTCGCTCCACTTTCCTCCAAAGTGCGCGAGCACCGCGATCATACCGGCTTGGGGCGCCCACCAGGAGAGCGCCTTGCTGAGGCAGCGAGCAACGCTGCGAGGGGCCGCCCCGCCCCCGGCCCGCGCCGGAGGGAACCGCGCTCGCTGTGCGCGCTCGGGCCCGGCCCGGCCCGGCACGGCACGGTGGCTCGGTCACCAGCAGGTGGGCTCCCGTAATCTCGCGCCGCAGCTCTCGCCGCCGGCGCCGCCCCTCGGCCCCGCGCCCCTCCGCGCAGCCGCCCTGCGCGCCCCCACCCCGGGCCGCCGCGCGCCGCCGCCGCCCCGAGCCCCTCACCTGCAGCCGACGCGGAGCTCCTGCAGCGGCCGCGGGCAAAGCTACTGAGGCCTCCGCCGCCCGCCTCCCCTCCCTCCCTGCCGAGGCCCCGCCCCCGCCCCGGCCCTGCCCACGACCCCACCAGCCATTGGTCGCTGCCGCCTGAGCGCCCCACCCCGAGCACCTCATAGCCTTCTCCAGTGGCCCGCGCGCCTGTCACTTGGGGGTGGGTGGGCCGTAGCGCAGCCTATATAATTCCCCCCTCCGCCCGCATTTAATGTCACAGCTAGGTCCGGAGTGGCGCATCGGACTACAGGCCCTGGAGCTCCCCGCTGCCACATCTGGCTTTAATCCGCCCCGGCTACCAACAAAGGCCCGGGTGAGCCCTCGGCCTCTGCTTCTGCGGCGCGCGGCCCGACCATCCGGGCTGCCTCAGCCCCAGCCCGATGCTGTCCCCGTGCGGTCCCTTCCCAGGCAGCGGTCCCGGTGACAAGTCCCGGCCTAGCCCAGCAGTCGCCTTCAAGGCCCCGCGATCCCAGGTCGCCTCTTAACTGACTGTCCCCAGCGGTGGGAGTCGTTGCCTCCAACCTAGCGAGGAGGCGACAGGGACGCAGGGACAATGATTTAATAAGCCACTGGGCAGAACAAATATAAGCAGGATTTAAATGCACGCTATTTGTGTACCCATGTCCCTGATTTCTCCACTACGCCACGGCCATTCTCTTCTCCTTCCTCCTGGGCCCCCAGTCCTAATCTAGCACTATTTCCTAAAGTTTGAGGTTACTTTAGAACCAGATGGATAACCACAGAAGATCTGGCTAGGTTGCCCCTAGTCTCTTAGTAACCATGCCTGTGTCCTTGCCATAAACCAAGCACAGTGGTAAAATCTTAACTGCATCATGTCATATCCCAATCCCTGTTTTGTATATGAGGAAATGAGCTCAGAGAAGCTAGTCTCACAGCTGCTAAGTGATAGACCTGGGTCCAAATTTCACTGATCTCTTCACTGGTACAGAAATGTTTACATCAACCCTGCAAGGTAATATTTACGGGGAATCGAGGACCAATCATCAAAGAAAGCCTTGTTCCTTATAAGCTCCCAAGGTAATAAATAGATCCTTCACAGCTGTAATTCAAACACTGAAAATGCCAGCATCATCAATCAGAATGTTTTCTCCCCTGACAAAACTCATTTATTGTTTTATTGTTTCCTTAAGGTTATAATAATTATTAATTATGACACACATAGGTTTTTCAGCTCTTCCATGGTCAGGTTTCACTCCATGGCTGTTAAACTGAAAAGTGCACAAAGAAACACACTCTTCTCAAATCTCCCGCCGATTAAGAGGAATCAGACAGATGATTCCCCACTGCGGACATAATGAGAATGGCGACTATGACTCCCGGTGACAACTCTGCTCTCTACTTTGGTGGATGTGGAGACAGGGTTCCCATGCTCTATGATGAAGGCATGGCCAGGGACCAAGCTGGCCACAGACCTCATGACAGATATGAGCAATAAAGACTGAGGCCATTCCAGGATACAATTTTTGATACACTGTTTGCCATGTTATATCTAAAATAGCTCCTGGGAATAGATGATCCCAGGCCTTGCTATACAGTGCTCTTAGTGACAAACTGCTCCTTGCAGATGAAAAAAATATTGTCATTTGATGAAAGAGGCAGACAGACAGATGGACAGATTCTCAAGCCGTTTCCATAGGTTTGCCCAAAAGGCCAACCAGAGCAAGTAGCTATTCTCCCTGTTTTACTGAGGAAAAAACTGCGGTCCTATGAAATTAAGTCATTTGGAAGGTAGAAAGAGTAATTTAGGCAAATAGTAACTGACTATATCAGAAAACTCAGAATTCTAGGCCCTCATGGAACTCTAACACTCTTGCTCTACTCTCAGCTTGAGCAATGGCAAAATTTTGTTGAGTGGATGAATATTTTTAAATGTCCCTTCTACTTTCTCTCATGGAGGAAGGAAGTGACAGCAGTCACATGCATGCTGTAAGGAGAGATATATGTCAGGAAAAGAAAAGAAAGGCTTCAGTTATAAACTCAACTGTTTATTCCCCCCTGGACTCTAGTTAGTGGTAAAATCCACAGAAAACAACAAGCAAACATAAACAACACAACTGCTTTGCTTTGGGGACCTTTGTGACACTTTGTGGCTGCCCCAACCTGCAGTTTTCTAAGAAATCTGTGTTACAGTTACACTTGTGTCAGTCTGTTCCCATTGTTGCTGAGCGAGATGTGGATTTCAGATAACTGCCCTGAGAAACTGGAACCCCATGGAATATGTGCCTTCCTAGGATGGCTGAGAATTAATGATTCATCTTAATTCTGTACAAGTACACAATGCTGAACTTTCCAACTGCCTCTGGGATCACTGTCTAGTTATCAATGAAGGATAGTCAGTCCAGACCTAGTGAGCTCCACTGAATTCTTTTGTATATTTTCCTCAACAGTTTGTCTTATCTATACTTTTTTTCTCATCTCCTTCTGTAGTTTTTGTCTTCTCTGGACCTTTGTATCACAGTGCTGCTAAGATCATAAGCCAAGAAATTCTGCCTGTGACCTCAGCATTCTATAACATGTCCCCAACAAAGCTGGTGTGTCTGGCAATACTTTCATTATCCCACAAATATTCCTGAGTGGCTGTGACTACAGAGGCAGCTGGTACCTCACCATGAAGTACACACAGACTAGTGGGAGATGGAGATAAGTAATTAAACCACAGGGCAGTGCCACACAGAGCTGGGACAGCAGATAGGATGGGGCCATTAATCAGATTCTCTGGGCAGAGAAGGCTTCCTGGAAGTGACATTTGAGCTAAAAACAGACTACACACAGGAAATGAATCTTTTCCTTTTATCTCTTTGTGGGTGAGTAGTTGGTTGCCGGTGATGCCATGCCTATATCAATCAGCTTCCAAGAAATCAAGCAGAGTCTCTGGTTCTTTTCGACCCTACCTCTCTCCGCACATAAACAATCAAACTTGCATCATTTGTGAGTATTTATAGATGTGATTTGGGTGCTGTGGCTACTTGCTCAAGTGGAATCTTTTTAATGCATGAGCCTCAAGAGGAATCACATCAGGAGGTTCTCCCGTGCTTGTTTGTCTGTTCGCTGCTTTTGTTTAGAGCTGGAAGTCTTGCTAAACTGTCAGGGCTGGCCTCAAACTATCAACCCGCCTGCCTCAGCCTCCTGAGTAATTAGTGATAGCATGTACACCCCAACCCAGCTCCTGTTTTGTTTGAGAAATTGGAATATGTGCCTTCCTAGGGTTTGCTTGGGGTTTTTGAGACCAGGTCTCAATATGTAGCTTAAGCTAGCCTCAAACTCACTGTGTAACCAGGCTGGCCTTGAACTTAAATCCTCTTGCCCCAACCTCTGGGGCTCCAGACTCACAGGTAGGCAGCACTGCACCCAACTAGCTCCTGGCTTTGTCAAGGTGGTACATTGCTAATTGCTAGGCAGTACATTTTATGGCTTTCATCTAGAAACTATAGCAGACTTGGGACCAAGATGGGCCATAAAGGACTATTAATCCTTTGTCGGCTACAATGTTTCAGACTCAGTGTGAAAAATTATTTCTGCTTGTGTCACCAAATAGGGCACATGAGACCCAAGAAATTAACAAGAAACAAACCAACCACCACATTTCACATGTGGACATGAAGGCTTATCCAGATAAGGACAGATGAATTTAGCAGAGACCTAAATTACTTTTATTTTTAGTTTTCATGCTTCTCCTCCACACTTTCACTCATCAAAGATGCCTTTGCAATACACCTGTCCTATTTCACAGGCCCATCCTCGGGGCGGATGTATCTATCAAGTTATTCAGGAAAAAACCAGAATGCATGGTTACTAGGGATGCAATGTAAAAACTTGTCAGTGCCGTGGCCAGTGGTGCTTCCAAATATATGCAAGACATTACTAATTTTTTTCACCCCAAGAAAACCCTAAAATAAAAGAGAAACCAACAATCTTGCTGGGAATGGGCGGCCTTCCTTGTATTGTTAGAACAGTCAGCAATGCTTTGTGGCAGCAGAAGTCTCTGCTAAGATGGTTTTAAGAAGCTTGGAAGGATTGTTCTTTCCTTGTAAGTGACTTAGCCACACCACTAAAGCCAACTCGCTTGTTTATATTGTATTCGATGTACACTCAGAGGACACGATGGATGAGAATTGCGTGCCAGAGAATCATAGAGCTTTGAGAATTTGCTTTTTCTTTTTCTTTTGTGAATCTGGTGCTTGTAAGAGATGCTGGATCAACAACTATGCATCTGAAATTCACCCATGTATGAAACCAATCTCAGCACTTCAATTGCAGATACTCTATCAATGCACTGCAAATAGAATAAAACCCTCTACTCACATAATGCATCTCAAGCCATGACTCAATTCCTGGGGTTATGGGTATCTGGACAACAAAATATATGCTACCTTTTCGTGCCTCAGGTGTTTCTTTACCTTGTTTTAGGGTAACTGAATATTTCCACTATAAGTCAGTGCATCTGTCAGAGTCCAGTTAGGAAAAAGGAGGAAGATGAAGAGGAAGAGTGAGGAGAGGAAGAGGGGGAATGCAGGAGAGGATGGGGAAGGAGAAGTAGAAATGGAAGATGAAGCAGAGGAGGAGGACAGAGATGGAGAGAGGAAGAGACCCCCAGGGACCAGCTAAGGCCCTGGCTGGTGCTCCCGAGCTTGCATCTGTGGGTGCACCTCTCTCCTAAGCTGCTGCTTCTGGGAGCCCCCACAGCTGCAGGCAGGAACTGCCCCACCCCCACTGCTCTTGCAGCTGTGACCGACACCTGCAACAACTGCCACATTCGTGTGGAGAGAGACAGAAGCAGGAAGCCCCCCTCCTTCCTTTGGCTTCCATCCCACAGTGCCTCCTCCCTGCAGAACCTAATAGAAATCCAGCTGGTGGTGCAGCCTGGAATGCAGCCGGCCTGCCCTGGCAGCACAGGGCAGGCTGTAGAAAGGCAGCTTGCAAGAAGGCTAGAGGTGACGGGAAACAACCAGCCGGGCGTCCAAATAAAAAAAACATACTTGGCATTCTTTCAAGATAAACAAAGAGATCTGTCCTGGAAAGATGAGAAAAC